TGCTCGGGCAGGGTCGCCTAGGAAACGGGCCAGGGGCGCGCCGACCGAGCCTCCCTATGGCCGCGGTTGTGAGCCAGGCAGGGGCAGAGAGCTGCGAGTGCGAGCGCGCCCCCCCAGATGTTGCGCCCGGTGCGGCCGGCCCGGAAAAAGGTGCCGGAACGCGGTTCCGCCGCGTTCCGGCTGAAAAAAAGCCCTGCCCTTATCTATCACTAATCTGCTTTGACTGTTAGTAGTTCAGATTCCTGAAGAGAGCGTTAACATGCAGCAAACAGCCACTTGTCTGAAATGGTATAGGGTTTCCTGCCTGATCAGGGGGTTGGACTAGATGACCTCCAAGATCCCTTCCAACTTTATTATTATTATTATTATTATTATTATTATTGTTGTTGTTGTTGTTGTTGTTGTTGTTAAAGCTATATTGATGTGAACTGCCTTGAATCTTGATCCTCTGTGCTTGATACTAATTGAAATAAATATTATTTATTATTTATCTTTCTTCCTTAGTCACCTTGTTCATTATATTGGATCAAGTTGCTTTATTTCATTCAGCCTGGCAATTGAGCTGTCTGCATAAGTATTAAGAAATTTAATCTGGAAGACAACAAATTGGGAAAGGTTGTACTAAAAATATTTTCTGCCTATTCTTTTTCATGGTCCATCGTACTTGAAGGCTGTACTGCACTGGAGTTCTGGGGAAGAAATGGCAAACTGAAAATAACTCTGCTAAAGTGGAAGTGACGGCCACAGTGCAATGAAGAGCTGCCGAGTAGACAGGCTCTTTTACTTGAGATTGCCTATAAGTGTTTCAGAGAGTCACTTCTTGTGAAGAGACCACAAGGCAGTGGTCTCCAGAGGGTTTATTGCTCTGGAAAATCAGGCAATAGCCAGCTTTTTGCTCAAACAACAGTCAGTGCCTTCAAAAGGACACAGAGTTCGCATACTTTCTTTTCTAATCATTTTAGGAAATTGCTTTTTAGTTATTTAGAAATGTTGGGATCAACATATTTTATAGCACTGGATAAATTTTCTTCAGTCCTTCGCAAAAGAGGTTCTAAATATATGTTCAGTGATTTAATTGTGTTTTCTTTTGGAATAAACAGCAAAGGAGTCATTAGAACTTTGATTTTGGAAAGTTACAAATGGACTAAGATGGATTTGAAATAAGATTTTGAAATTAATTATAAGAAACTTTCCTGTGGGAAAAATTTAAAAAAATATGATGACACTTTGAAGGTTACACTTTAGAGGGAACTGGGAGGAACTAATGATTACAGTTAAAGGAGAAGAATACTTAAATTTGACTTACCAATACAGAATTTTTATTTATTTTAACATTGGGCATATTGAAGGATATTTATGAACAATGAACCTAGACATTAATTTTAAGAGGGTCTGCCTCTATAGATAGACTATAGATAAAACTATAGATAGACTATAGATAAAACATGTTATGGAAATGCAACAAGTTTTACCTCACAAGATTGAGAATGATTTGAAAGGTGAAAAGAATGGCAGGTTAAAAGAATGATATGGAAAAAGGTGCTACACTGGACATAGAAAAGAACCAACTGTTGTCTTAATAATGAAAAGGGATATACAAATAACAAACTAAAAGAGTGACCTGATAAATTTTCTATATTAAATTTACAAAAGAGACTTGTAAAGCTTTGAAGAATTTTATGAGATGGGACAAGGAAAATAAATGAAAAGAAAATCAAGTTCTAGGACATAATTTGAAAGGACTAATAATCAAAATTGTTAAAAGTAGAAAATATGAAGTTGGCTTATTTGATCAAGATTAAAATAGACATGTTATTTTCTCTGGTAACTCTTACTGGACTTTTGTTCATTAGTACTGAACAACAAAACTCTAAAGGTTTTTTTTTATAGATAAATGATGTGATATGGGAAAAAGAACTCATTTGTTGTATTTCAAGAGGTGATAAATTTCTAAAATGATTTATACTTATTGTGATGGAGGGAAAAGTCATTTCTTTATATATTTCTTTTCTTTTTCTTTACTATATTCTTACTTTTTAAAAATTTGTGCACTTTCTATTTTTATTCTTTTATTTTTTAGTTTTATTGGTTTTTATCTTTTGAATTATAACTTTTAATTTTAAAAAGTTTTACTGCATCCATCTGTAATGCCACTTACCTTTCTAGCCATTTCCACTGGAGAAATCTGTCAAAATACATGCTGTCTGAGTATTCTTGGAAAGGCTCTCCACTTAGGTACTCATGAACAGACCTATTTCAGATGAAAAAGAAAGAAATACTTGACAAGTTTGCTCCCAGATAAGTGCCCAAGTTCCTCTTCAAGAGTGATGCTTAGTTTTAAATCTACTAACTCACAAGTATTAGGAGAACATATCTTAGGGATAATGTGTTCTTTTTTTTATCCAATATCTTGTGTATTTCTTTTTTTATCTAATCCTGTTGTATTTTTTTCTTTTTGGTTGCCCACCCTGCTAATATACTGCACAGTAATGCACTATCCCAACATATAAATTACAGCCCAAGCAATATCAGATTGCTGCCAAGGCCATGAACAATTATTAGGTTCTTTTCCATCAAAGAGCAAAATGAGAGTAGTAAAATTAAAAGACAGAAGTATAATTACTGAATGAAAGCTTCTAAATTTCACAAGTACCTCCGTAAACCATCCAAGAACAACAAAAGCACCTGCTGGAAATAATGTGCATTTAATGATCCCTCCCTTTTGATATTTCCTTCTGTTAAAGCCTGGCAAATATCATGGCAAATAAAAGCACCAGCAGTTCTAGATACAAATATTTACACACGGAGCTCTAGGGGACAATAAAAAGAAAGTCCTAACTTTGCGAAACTTCTTTGGACAAAAAGATGACACCACAAAATTAGACATCCTATTTCAGGTCTCCTAGACCTGAAGGGCATTTTGAAACACATGCGTGTTCCTTTGTCTATGTGAATTCTGCAAACAATTTTTTTTTTTAAATGAAATGGGCATTGAGGAGGAGTGAGTGCAAAACAGAAAATGTGTTTTGTTATATGCACAAAAGAAGTGCATTATGACTCAGAAGTTCAGTCAAAATGTTCTGAATGGGGTTGCAATTCAGATGAACAAAACCTCCGACTGTCTTGGTTGTTATGGTTTCAGTTGAGACAAAATCTGGAAGGAATCAATTTATCACCTTCCTTCAGGTCAACTGCTATGTCTGTCTTAGGGCCTGTGTTCACCTTTTTCTCCTTTACCTGCTTTCATTCATTCCTGTTTTACTGCCACATTCCACCCTGGAATATCTTTGACTAGAACATACATACAGGCAGTTCTTGACTTACAACCATTTGTTTAGTGACCATTCAAAATTATAGCAGCATGGAAAAAAGTGTCCTTTTTCAGTGGAACGACTTGCTTCCAGAAGTTGTGGGGGCTCCATCACTTGAAGTTTTAAAGAAAAGACTGGACAACTATTTTGTCTGAAATGGTATAGCGTTTCCCTGCTTGAGCAGGGGGTTGGACTAGAAGACCTCCAAGATCCTGTCCAACTCTGTTACTCTGTTCTGTTCTGACTTATGATCAGTTCTTGCACTTACAACTGTTGCAGCCTCATCTAAACAAAATTTAGGCACTTGGCAAGTGGCATGTATTTACAATGGATGTGGCATCCTTGGGTCACATGTTCTTCATTTATGACCTTCCCAGCTGCTTCTGACAAGCAAGGTCAATGGGGAGAATGGCAAAAAAGATTGTAAAATTGGGCAGGATTCACTTAACAATCCCTTGCTTAGCAATGAAAATTCTGGTTCCAATTGTAGTCATAAGTTGAGGACTACCTATATCTCAAGTTAATGTCCAGATAAAAGCTTAAATTTTGGTCTAGACATGAACCATTCAGAATTATTTGAGTCTGTGGGTGGAATGCTTTTCATATTTGGAATGTTAAATTACAATGATCAGCTTATTATTGAGAATGTATTTATATAAAAAAGTCTTATGGAAATCAACAACAAAATAAAATGATCTTTGAATGCCAGAGGGCACTTACTTTACACAGGGTGAGAACAGCTCTTTACACGGGCTGTTTTCAAGTTTTTCTTTTATCTGCTGTACAAGATCTTGACTGGCTTCTGCTACATAAACTGGAGACTATGAAAAAGCAGAGAGAACATAAGTTCATTATGTATTAATTAGGAGAAAGTATTTCCTTGATAACCAAGTACATTTAGGCACCAAGATATAAGAAAATATACAAAAATAATATTTGTATTTATTTATTATTGAGGCATCTATGCTGCTTCAATCTAAGAATTCTAGTGAGGTTACAGGACAATATATTACTAATAAACAAAAATATTTCAAAACCCTCTACAAAAATAACTAACAAACTTTCCAGAAATATACAATAACCAAATTCAACCCAGCATTCTTTTCTCACAAACCAGAAAAAAAAAATATTCTCATAATGAAGCATGCATTTCTTCTCTTCCTGAAAATTCTATGAAAAAGTGAGGATTTAAGGAAAGAAAAAAAACTATTTTTGACACTATTGAAAAAGACAGAACGTCTTACAATCAACCACTGCAATCCAGCAACCACGTAGTTTCATTAACTCACATGAGAGAAGAAAGGTGTACTAGTGGCAGAATCAAGTTAATATATATACACATACACAAAACACATACTACCTCTCTGTTGTGTATGTGCACATCCAGTTTTCTAAATCAGACAACCAAGGATAGTGTAACAAGGCAGATGATTCTGCATTCCTCATGTGCAGCAGTATTATAATACTTAGTATTTTAAAGATTTGAATATATATTAAGTTCTGATTTCATATTCATGTACCAGTTGATGTGCATTTTTACAAATAACATGATCAAAATTCCCTGGTTTTGCTATGATGTTTCTTTTCACAAAAAATTGAGTATACTTCTTCATTTCATCTTTGCTTTCTGAGTACATGGTGTACTGAAATTACCTTCTGTCTAGTTGATCAAAAACACCTTTTTATGTATTTTTAGGGAGTGGTGTATGTCTTCCTTTACAGTTTTTACAAACCTAAATAAGTTTTCACACTTCACAGAAACTTCCATTCAACTTTCTAAAAAAAAAAAAAAAGTGGGGGGGGGGGGACAGAATCCAGGCAATAACTTTTCCCACTATGAAGTCATGAAACAAACAGCATTTTTTGAAAAAAAATATTTTGATTTAATGTCTGATTTTTTTTCTTTCTGAGTCAATCTGTGGATATTTTTTTTTGTTTACAAGCATGTCAACTTTTTTTTTTAAAATCCTACCACAATATCTAAAAAGTGAAAAGTAACCCCTGGATTGATATAATCCAATTATTTGATACTGCTGACCATTTACTAAGCAGTGTAAATAGAAATAAACTCTTTTCTTTATTCCTTTAATGAACAATGATAAAAGAATGTAATGTAGATAAATAAACCAGGAATTTACAATGTCATGAAAGCTACAAGCTTTCTAAAATATTAATTATGAGAAATAGTTATAAATATAAGATATATAACATGACTAATCAAATTACTATTAAACTTAAGCTAAAAATGAGTAACAAAGTCTATAATCAGTACAACATAAATCAAAGTCGCTCGGATTCGGGAAGGCTTGGACTCCGACTGGTTGGCCCAGGGGGAGGAGACGGGAGCAGGTCTTGAGACGGTTGTATGGGAGGAGTTTGACTCTGTTGCTCCTGAAGATGTGGACAGGGTCCTGGGGAGGCTGAATGCAACCACATGTTTATTAGATCCGTGTCCCTCCTGGCTGGTACTGGCAGCTCGG